TTACTGTGGGGGTGGTGATGCACTGGCAAAGGTTGTCTAGAGAAGCTGTGGCTGCCCCATCCCTGGGAGTGTTTAAGACCAGACTGGATGGGGTTGTGAGCAACCTGGTGTTATGGAAGGTGTCCCTGCCCATGGCAGGGGGTGGAACAAGATGAGCATTAAGGTTCCTTCCAATCCAAACCATTCTGTGATTCTGTGTTTCTCTAAGAACCTCTCTACACAGTCATTCCTGTATTTTACACTAGTAAAACGTTTAGTATGAGCATGAGGTACTGTACCTGATAAGGCAACTAAGACAGGACCTTGGCCTAGAAAATCAGGACACAGATTTTAATATCTGAGTGGTTTTGGGCAAGTCACTTCTGCAGATTGAGAAGCAGTGGCACAAAGTGGTTAAAAGTCACACAAAGGCTGGCTGCTCTCTAAATGCCCTCGCACTTGCTGCTCAAGAACAATGTATAAGAACTTTGCACAAGTGCTGTTTGTTTTTGTCTGTGTTTAATGGAAGGAGGGGGGTAACTCACTGTCAAGTACACATTGTTCTCATAGGTCAGCTCCTCGAGCAGAGGGAACTGTTTCAGAGCAGTCACATCTTCCAGCTTGTTATTGTTGCAGTTCAGGACACGCAGATCAGGCAGGGTGAGGCTGTTGGGAAATTTGTCCAGTAAATTATCAGAGAGATCAAGTTTCTGCAGGTGCCTCAGGCGGGAAAACAAGCGCGGGTCTAAATCTCCAGTCTTCAACTGCAGCTTGGACAGGCTGAAAACAAAACAAAAAACAAAAAAACTAACCATGAACTATCTGTAGCTCACTGGAGGAACAAATGCTGATTTCATAGCATAGACAGTCCCACCTGGTGGCATCTCAGTCCAGTACAACTCCCGGGTACAGCTGACCATTGGTTTTTTTAGGGTTAACTCAACTATCTCTTGAGTTATCACTTCCTCACAATGGAAGCACCATTTTGTTAGTTTTTAAAATTTTTATAAAGTTTAAATAACTAAAAAGTGTTTTATAAAGCTTTATTCTATTATTAATCTCAATAAATAGTAGAACATAAGAGATGTAAAACTCAACACCATTCCATCAAAAACTTATTTCTTAGTTACAATGCTTTATAAATGTTTTTCAACCTATCAACTTTCTATCAAGTTTTAAGAATTCTTTACAAATCCATTTCCTACACTGGTGGCAGCATTCTGGATTGTGGGCACAGTGTGGGACAGCTGATGTGTCTGAACTAACAGCCCCCATCAGAGACTCAGTCTGCCAAACAACAATTAACCTGCAATTCAGATCATCTCCTAGGGGTTACTGAGCTGGCTGGGAGCAATAAATCACCAGAAAAATTCTTATTGTATTTTAAAAAAATTACTACACCTCTCAAAGGTTTGGTATTTTATTCCTGTGCAATGTTGATCCAACAAGAGAAGCTGTGGCAATTCAAGACACAGCACCCTCAGTGTACCCAGTCCATAGAATGCACTGCAGTCATTATTTCACAGTTCATGCCAAGTGCAGAGTGTGTTCCCAAATAATCTGGCTGTTTTCAAATAAAAAACTTGACAAAAAGTGGTTTTTCCATTTCTTTTATAGTGAGTTTTGCTGCAAAAACTTCCAATGGTAAATGTAGAAATTCACCTAACAAAATCCCAAAACTGCCACCAAAACAGAACTTTGTCCTGAAAGGGGAAGTGGTGCAATATTGGTGAGGGGAAAAGAAATATCCCTTCTCTGTAAGAAAGTCAAAACTGCATAATTTAAGCAGGGTCATTTATATTTGTTTAGATCATTCAGGTGAGCTCCAAAGGCAGCTTCTAGCCAATATCTCTTGAGGGCACAAGTTTGGGTTCCTTTAACAAACAGAATCTCTTTCTCTAATGACCAGTTAAAAAAATAAGCTTCTAGATATTAATGAAGTGTGAATAAATGAGACAAATAAATCCAGAAAGTAAGATCCTTTCTCCTTCACTTGCCATCTCAGAAGTGTAGCCAGCCAGTCAGAGCTGGTAAGACAGGCTGAGGACAATCCAGCTGGCTGCAGAGCTGTGACTGTGGTGTCCTTTTGGGGAAAAAAAACTCAGTGGTGTTCCCCAAACAGACTTTCTGAAACACATCACAGTACACAGCTGCATGGAGAAAGCCACAGTCCAAAAATCCAGAATTCAAACATCTCCCCACCACTCTGTTATTGAGATTATTGCAGCTGACACTCAGAGAAACAGTAGAAATTCAAGTACACACCAATCAAGGACATCATTTCCTCATCAAGGAAAAAAAAAATCAACAGAGTTCTCTGTCTTCTTGGTGATTAACTGATGTTTCTCACTAAAAATAATTACTTTAGCACAAGGCAAACTGAAAAAAATAACTTTAAGGAGTACATGTGAAACCCAAATCTCCTGACTTCAGCAACAAAAACAACAAAGATGTCAGCCAGAAATTGGCCAGCTGAGCCACTTGGATTGGCCAGCTCTGTGTTAAATATTTGCAAGGACACATTTTTGCAATGATCTCTGTCAAGGACCTGAGTGACAAAACTGTTTTTAATGGTTTTTAAGTGATTCAGAGTTTATTCTCTCCCTCTGCAATGTTTGAGGTAGTGGGATAACTGGGTTTAGGAGAGGTGGAACTTGATGGAGGGAGAGAAAAATGGAAGGGAAATAATGCCAAAAATACTTTAAAAACCCTCTGAAATCCATGCTGGAAGATTCTCTTATCCACATTAAGAAATTGCTAGAAAAAATGCAAGAATTTTGGGGGTAAGGATATAACCTTGGGGTTAGGAAATTGGGATCCAGCCTTGAAAAAACGGCAGCAAATATACACTAGAAATGGCAAAAAAAGATGACATCTGCCAATAACCAATTCGTGAAAGCAGTGCCACCACTGCTCACTGATCCTGCACTGGGAATGCCTTCTCAGCTCTGTGCTTTGATGCTCTCTTCATTTAAGTAAAAAAATGTTTAGGGGAAGATAGACACACAGATAAAAAGCCATTGCCAGGTTGAATTAATCTGGAATTTTCCATGGGCCAGTCTGCACTTACTTGAGCGTCTCGATCTTTCGGAGCCTCGTGGATCTTGGAACTGCTCTTTCCAAAAGAAGTTCTGTGGTGATTTTGGACATTTTTAACCTCCACCTCTCTGCTGGAACCACCAATCAGTCAGCTGGAGGATGTCTTCTGGTTACCTTGATAAAACAAATGGGAATAAGAGGAAATCTTTCAACAGCTCCAAGAGAGGGAAAAAAAATTATGAGGTTATCTACTGGTTTTGTTGCTGTGTTGGAAGCCTTTTTTTTACTTGGTTAAAATGAACATGGCAGAGGTTTTTATTGGATTGGGCACAGGCTCTCAGCACGCTGATCCAATCCATCTCCAGAACAACAGGGATACATCCTGTGGCTGTTGGAGTGACAGACTTGCTGCAGGTGAAAGCTGTCCATGAGTGATGGCACTCAGGACCAGGACAGCATCACAGGTACCTGCTTGTGCCTCTCCCGGGCTCTGCTCCAGGAATTCCAACATTCTTTCAAACAAGAAGCAGCAGAAAGAGTCAACACACCTGCTGTGAATGGTTTTCTCCCAAAAAAGTGACACTGAGCTCACTGGCCTGGCCAGCTGGACAGACTCTTGCCTGATGACTTCCAAATTCCCCAAAATTTTTGGAAAACTGAAATAACCAGCAGAAATTCAGGCACACACCAATCAAGGACATCATTTCCTCATCAAGGAATAAAAAAAAAAAAACCAACAGAGTTGTCTGTCTTGTTGGTGATTAACTGATGTTTCAGTAGACACAGAGGGATATGCTGATATTTGGAATAACAGTGCTGACAGGGCCAAAAGAGCTCCATGAAATGACTGGTCCAGGGCTTCCCACTCTTCCTGACACAGATTCCAAGAGGGAAATAAAAGAGAACAGAGCTCCAAGGCCAGGCTCGCTCCTGTCTTTCTGTGTTAGATCAGTGCTGCCCAAATGCCACTCCAGCACATCGTGAGGGGCACACGGGGCACTGAGCTGTGCTTGGGCTTGGTTTCAGCAGCAGCACACTCCTACAGCACCTGCAACATTGTGTGATGAGCAAGGGGCACAATATCGTATATACTGAAATATTGTATGCACTGAAATATTGTATGCAAGCACAAAGAGCTGATCTGAAAGCCAGCTCAAACTGCAGCTCTGTGGGATTGGATTGTATAAAGGACAGAGCTCTCCCTGAGAGTCCAAGCACAGGGTCAGGCTTGTTCAACCAAAGCTCCCTCAGAATCTCTGTCTACAATAAAAATGTGACACCAGTGACTGGACGTGCCATGGCCTCTCTTTGGCACACTGGCACAGCCGTGACAGGGCAGGAGCCGCAGGGAAGGCCAGACACGGCCGGTCCCATCCCACAGCCCCGGGGATGCTGCAGAGGCACATTCGGTAACCGGGGGTGCCGAACGCCGGGGTTATTGCACAGGGAATAGGCCCCTCCTGCCCCCCGCAGCTCTCGGGATGGAGCCCCAGGGCCGGGCATCCCCTGACCTGAACGCATTCCGGGCAGCTGCCCCGGGACGCGATGCCGCGGCGGTGACAAGGCCACGGATGCCGGGCTGTCCGCGCACGCCGGGCGGCCTCCGGGCCGCGGTAGCACCGGCCGCAGGCCGCGGCTCCGCCCGTGGGCAGGGCCGGACCGGGCCGGGCGGGGCAGGTGCGGCCCCGGCCGAGGCCTCGCCCGTCACCGCCGCCTCCGGATACCGAGCACCGCGAGGGGCCGGCGCCAGCCGCGGCCTGAGGCGCCCCCGCGGGGTGCGCGCCGCGCCTACAACTCCCAGCGTCCCCCGCGGCGCCAAACAGCGGCGGGGAGCCCGGGCGCGCCGCGGGGGCTGCTGGGAACGCGAGTCCGCCCGCACCCCCCTTTCCACCCCCGCTGCCCGACCGCGCGGCCTGCGCCCAGCCCCGCTGGCCTCACCTGGAAGCGGCCGGGGAGGAGGAAGAGGAGCCGGGGAGGAAGGAAGGGCGGGAGGAGGAGCGGGGAGGGGGATGCAGGCGGGAACCGGCGGGATGCAGGCGGCGGGCGGCGGCGGAGGGCCGGGCTGCGGCTGCAAGGGGATCCGCTCCTGCCTGCTCTGCGAGGGGCCCGCGCCGGCCGCTCCGCCCCCGCAGGTACCGGGGAGGGGGCGGGCGGCGGGGCGGGGAGGGGCGGGCAGGAGGGCGGGAGGAGCCGGGGGGCGGCGGGGACCGGGGCCGGGGGGCGGCGGGACCCTCGTGCCCGGAGCGGGGACCCCGGGGCCGCAGGGTCACAGCACGGGGCCGAGCAGAGCCCCAGCGGTGGCCGCCCCTCCCCGGGTATTGTGAATTGTTCGCCTCAATAACGCTCAGAGCCGGAGCTCACCTGAGCCTCACGTGTTACGTTCACATTCGTTTGTTACAGCTCTGCCTTGTGGCCTGCGTGGTTTTCATCAACTTTCCTCGTTCAGCATTTATTGCTATGACAAACCCTATCTCTGAAGCAATACCCACCATTAATCTCCTTATACCTGTGGCCCTGAGGGTCATCGGTTCTTCCCTGCCTTTCCAGGATAAAGACATCAGCAGGAAAAAAAAATTGGCTTCAAACAAGCAGCACATTGATGCTGCAGCTGGAAAAAGAGAGCACGGAATAGCTGTTCCCCAAAAACAGCTGTAAAATTACTCTGTCTTCAAGAATACTGTGCAGTTTTCATGCTGCAACAGCAAGGTTGCAGGGGTAAATAATGAAAATATCTTATTGCTTTTTTCCCCTTTTCCGTTGATATTTCCACAGGGAGAAGATAATTTCACTTACTGTCCAGCAACAGGTCTAGCTAAAGGAAATGAGCACTCGGAATTTGCTGGCTGGGCATTTCCCTTTCCAGGGGTGTTCCTGGTGGAGGAGTTTATTAGTGAAGATGAAGAGTGTGAGATAGTGGAACTGATGGATCAAGATGACTGGAAACCATCACAGTCTGGCCGAAAGAAACAGGTTGGACTTTGGAAGCACATCTGATCTTAGATCCCTCTGGAAAAGGAAAGCTGTTTTCAGTTAAAACCCACAATATTGAGATGTTTCATGAAGTGTTTTCCTTTGAAAGCTTTTCCTGAAATCAATGGCAAGAATTATCTGTAATTAAAATCAGCTTCTTGCAAAAATACATGATAGTTACAATAAACAGTATTTGATGGTGTGTGTTCCAGCATTAAAGTTCACACAATCTCCAAGGGAAAGAAGTGGGTGTTGAGATTTGGTTTTACTTTACAAATCCAGAGAGATTAATGCAGATTCACTGAGTCCTTTTGCAACCTGGCAACCAGGTCAGTGGAAGAGATGAGAACAGAACTCTGCAGGAACAGCCTCTCCAAAAAGACTTGTCCTAGATTTTTCCTTTACACTAGCTTTCCCCTCCCTCTTATTTTCCAACAGGACTACGGACCCAAAGTGAACTTCAAGAAACAAAGGCTGAAAGCTGGCAGCTTTACTGGCTTGCCAAGTTTCAGCAGGAAGATTGTGGCACAGATGAAGGCCTGTGCTGTGCTCAGTGGTTTCTTACCTGTGGAACAGTGTAACCTGGATTACAGACCAGAGAGGGGCTCTGCCATCGACCCCCACTTTGATGACTGGTGGCTCTGGGGGGAGCGCCTGGTCAGCCTGAACCTGCTCTCACAAACTGTGCTCTCCATGTCCTGCGACTCACAGGACACCATCCAATTATTTCCCATTTCCAGTAAGGAAGAATTAACCCCCCCTGCACCTTCCACGCAGACATCAGCGTGCAGAAATCCAGGAGAAGAGGGAACCGAGTGCCTTTTGTCGCCGAGGCAGGTTCCGGGGAAGGAGGTGAGCGTGGCCATCCTCTTGCCCCAGAGGTCGCTGGTGGTGCTGCACGGGGATGCGCGGTACAAGTGGAAGCACGGCATCCGCCGGAGGCACATCCAGCACCGCCGCGTCTGCATCACCTTCAGGGAGCTCTCGGCCGAGTTCTGCGCCGGGGGCAGGCACGAGGAGCTGGGCAAAGAACTGCTACAAATTGCTCTTTCCTTCCAGGGGAGACCCGTGTGACCAAGGGGTTGTGTTTTGTTGGGAGAGGCGTAAAATGAGGTATGGAATTTGTGTGATGAGGTTTATTTCAGGTGTGTGCAGAGATAAGCTCAATAAAATGCAGATTTAACAAACAAGTAAAAGGGGTGAGCTTCAAAACCTCCTGGGCAATGAGAGCTTTTAGGCCAAAATAAAACATTTTAAGTTGCATCCATTGCCTGTGTTGTAGCAAAAAGGCAAACAACCAGTTCCTAAACACTTAAATGAACACAAGAAAGTTAGAAATACTAAACAGAGTATCAAACAGCCCTTGACACAGTTTCAGCCCAAGCCCTGGCACAGATTTTAAGCTTTCCTGGCCCAAACTTGATACTGTCAGACTGGTTCCAATGTTGCATCCAGCCCTGGGGGTACAAATATCCCCTCACCCACCTCAGACAGGTCCTGTAGAGACCAGGTCTCAGGGGAGGTAAGCAGGGATTTTTCCACAGTACAAAACACTGAGAACTAATTAAAGTAATTATCCTTTGCTGAAGATTCATGCTCTAACAATGAGGATTAATCATAAATTCCATGTGTGACCTGTATCTTCTGGGACCAAAGAGCAGCATTTGCAGAGGACCAGTGCTGACTCTTCAGGCTTGGACAGAGATCAGACCAAAGGCCTGGACAGACTGTGTTATTTTCTGATCATTTGTCATCTCTGAACCCTGCTGTCAGCTCTCAGTAGCAGGAGTGAGATTTTGGGAATTAGCTGGGCAACAGACTGCAACCCTGGCAGCTATCATTTATTTTCCTGGCACCCCCAGCAGTCAGGTTTGAATCATGCCTTGTACCTAAGATTCAAGCAGTCATTTGCAGCAGAAGCTGATCTGAGGCCATCTGTCTGCTCTGAACAAACTTCTGTGCTCTTGAAAATGAAGTTGTGCTGTGGAAGAATTGTGTGATCCTTTAATAAACATGGTGCTTCCTTCAGCACAGTCTCACCTGCAGCAGGAAAACACCACCTTGCCACCAGCAGGCAGTGCTGCCTGGCTTTGGTTGGCAAGGAGAGGCACAGACAGATCTCAGTGTCCCTGCACTGCTGGGCTCTGCCCCAAAGTGCTTCCTTGGCACTGACTGCACAGGATTTGCTGCACAGCAAAGCACTCCTCTGCTTTTCTGCAGGGGAGAGAGCTCTTCACCCAGCACAGCTCCCAGGAATCAGATGGGTCACTCAGGATGTTTTTCAAGCAGAGCCCTTTGTGGGCTGCAACGAGCCAGGTTCAGGTTAGTGCTGATTCCAGCAGAGCTCCCATGGGCAGTCCCAAACTCCAAACCTCCATCCAGGTGGGCTGGTGAGCGTCCTCAAGCAGCTCCAGCAGTCACAGCACATCCCCTCTGATGGAACCTCTTCACTGCAAACACAGACACACAACAGGCAGGCCACACCTGCTCACAGTGAGCTCTGTCCCAGCAAATTCCTCATAGGCTGCAACTGGAAGAGGGTAGATCTAGATTAGGTGTTTGGAAGAAATTCTTCCCTGTGAGGGTGGGGAGGCTCTGGCACAGGGTGCCCAGAGCAGCTGTGGCTGCCCCTGGATCCCTGGCAGTGTCCAAGGCCTGGCTGGAGCAAGCTGGACTAGTGGAAAGTGTCCCTGCCCATGGCAGGGGGTAGGAACTGCATGACCATTAAAGTCCCTTCCAAGCCAACCCATCCTGTGATGTCCAGCTCTCTCCCAAAAGCAGGAGTGTGCTGAGAGCAGCAATTCCTCCCTTTTTCTGCAGCCTGGCACCCACAGGGCTCAGCAGCTCTGGGAGTGGAATATCCCCAGGACAGCACCTGGAGCAGAGGGGCTTTGTCCAGGCAGGAGGAGGAGCCTGGCACAGACACCCAGGGAGGAAACCCAGCCCAGGCTGTCTCAGAGAGAGCAAACACTGCACCTGGATCCTCCTCACCCTGCAGTTCCAAACCTCTCCATGGATCTGCTCTCTGCTCAGCACACTGCAGCAAAGTGTTGCCATTAATGCTTGGCCCAAATTTCCAACGCTCCAATTCTACATTTATATTGTGCTCTCAGGCTGCTAAAACACTTTCTGTGTGCATCCCTGCTGCTCCATTCTCTCCACAGTGAAAGCAGATGATGGATTCTGATGAATCAGATTGCCACAATAACTTACACAGTGTCAGTTCATCTTGTGCTCTGCATTTGCTGGCTGCATTTTTCTGCCTTGATTGAACTATACAGGAAGCTGCTGTTCTTGCCAGAAGATTCCAGCTCTTCCTAGCTGATATCTTAAATGTGAAAAAATGCAAATAATTTAATACTGAGCCAAAAAGTGAGGGCTTTTTCTTGGTGTTTTTGAATTCCAAAACTTAATCTAGTCACTACACAGGCATTGCTGTGCCAGTCTTTTGACATTTTTCACCTGTTAAACAGCCTCTTGGGCATCATCCTTAGAAAAAAATGCACACCCATCTGTTCAGTATTACTCCTTAAAACTTCATGTACATTCTCTCCTAAAAAGCCAGAAAAAAAAGCCAGAAAATAAACATTAACAATTTACTGTCAAGTACCACAGAAATCTGAGAAAGGTATGAAGATGTTCTAATCTTAATGAGCTCTTTAAAGTAATTTTGTCCACTAAGCTGGTATTATTATTAACAGAAGACAAACTTTAATGGTCTCTCTGTTACAGGAGTTTCTTGTCTCCTTAACCTCCTTGTAAATGCCGTGCCAAGACCCAGACCCTCATTAAAAGGAAGTACATTTAATTGTTATCTCCTTGTGCACTGCAAAGGGAGAATGATAATATCTGACCAAACTTTCTTCAAAAAAGCAGAACCCAAGTTAACCCATAAGAAGATGCTGGAGGACTTGAGCTACCTTTCAAGAAATCAGTCTGAAATCACCAAGAAGCATAAAACTGAGTGAGTTTATCCAGTTTCTCTCACACAGCTGGACAATAACTGAGATACATTCGTTGTTCTACATTAAATATTGTTCATGCAGAGGTAAAACAAGAATAGGCAAAGCTGAAATACAGATTTTTTTCTTTTTCTCTTAGCACTCATGGCTGTCACACCTCTGGGCAGAAAGCAAGCTCCCAGCTGGATACAGAGGGATTCAGGGAAATACTGTCCAAAACCAGCCAGTCAATTTTAATTACTGAAACTGCTTTGAAATGGCTGCAGGGGAGAGAACCTGTGAGTTAACCAGAAAATATCCCCTCTGGCCCAGCTGAATTTGATTGCAGCTTGAGGGGGCGTTGAGGAAGTTGATGCAATGAGATTTAAAAGATAAGGAATCTACAGCAGCAGGGAAAC